GGTGCTGAGCTACCATTTGTTGAAGCAACCACAAGTTGCACACTTCTTGACCATTACTGTCCAATTCATGCATCTTTAGCAGAACCTGGATGCCAAATTAAGGAGAATTAAAGTAAGGTTATTCCATTATTCAATGTGTTTAAGCCACTGATAAGGACGTTAGATAATAATGTCAATTGGGTTATGATTAAATTTTGCAAAATAATGTAAGATTTTTTATACTAAAATGTCATTAGTGGACAACTTGGACTGCCGACTGAACTTCCTCCCTTGTTGGGCAGTTAGGTGGAGCCCGCTTCCTGCATCCGCTAATTTTCTATCATTGTTTCATACTCTTACGTGATGCATTGAATTCCATTTCTCAGTGTCCTTATGCGCAAAACACAAACTAGGTTTTATCATTTTTGTGTGTGTAATTTCTGCTTTCTCTTGTCAGCCGTTGGGAGTGACCCTATGCTGAATCTCTATCATCATGCGGATACTGACTAAATATGTATTTTTTATTAACCTTTTATTCATTCACATTAAAATGTTACGTCCTTTTAATGTGCAGCATCCTAGTTATTGTTTAGCTAGTATCTCGTTCCAATTCATGTGTGAATTCTGATGCAGAGACCCAGATACACTATACAGCCCAAAAGAACCAATTCAACAACCATCAGTATCCGTTCAGTGCTTTTTTTTTTATCATATAATATTTCTGTTAAGCAAATTTATTAAATATGATATATATACACACACACATTAATTTAAATACCATGTTTTATAAAAATGTGTACATTTTAATTAAAAATTATTAATTTTATTATAATTTAAAAACAAACAAACTCTAACCTTACATGTTGGATTTTCACCGTCGTTAGCTGAACGTTCAATTTGATATTATCTCGTCATCCTCATCTGGTGGACCAATAAAATCTCATTAATCATTATATGTTGCGTCGTTTGAGGAAGATTGTCCAACGATTCTGACAGGGGTTACAGGCAAAACTGATCAAAACAGCGATAAAATAACTTTGTTTGACTACTTCTACTAATTTGAATAAGTTTTGAGTATGAGATGTGGATATTTAAAAATTAAATAATTTAAACTATATATATATATATATATATATATATAATTTTATATGATTCTTTGTAATAAAATAAATCTCATCAATAGAGTATTACTAAAAAGACTATAAGAGTATTGATATTGTATTTAATTATATTAAAATTAATTTTGTAATCCTCTCCGATCATTATTTCGTAAAATTTATACATTTAATCTGATGCCAATGTTATTAATACGTAAATTTCATGTCTTTTTAAGATGTTTTAAGTTTAAGTTCAATTTTAATAAATTAATATTAGGATATAAGAAATAAAAAAATATTAAAACTGAAAATATAATATTAATTTTTAATCACATCACTTCTAAAGTAAGAAAAAAAAAGGATTGGCTATTTTAACTTCAAGAGACTCTCTGTTTTAATTGTTATTTTTTAGTTTATTAAATATATTGTTGAAGTAAGTTTAAGTTTATTAGTTTAATGTTTATTAAATATTTTTTAATTATTTTAAAAGATGAAATCAAGTAAGTAGTAAAATAAAATAAAATAATATTTGGATATAAAAATTATGTAATGATATTTTTTTCAGATAAGATTATACTTTATTACATGTATCTAATTTTATATAAATTAAAAAAATTATCGTTATAATTACGCAGACACAAATTATTCAGAGCTTCTAATGTTATGTTTATAAAAGCTTTACCTCAAATAGGAAAAAAAATAAAAACTTAACCTCAACATTTTTTTATATATTTAAGTTTAAAGCCAAGCTTTAGTTTGTTTACTTTTAAAAATAAATAATTTGACAAGTCAAGATCAAAACCAAATCGTTTATACTCATACACTCAAAAGTAATATTAATAATGAATCCTTTATTCATTGAATTTATTTCAACGATCAATAATTCCAACAACACTCTTAATTAGCATTAAATTTAAAAATATAAACAAGCATTTTTTCAAAATTTTAAGCAAGTATTTTTATCCATGTCTCCAAAAATTATTATTCTGTATAACTTAAAAAAAAATAAAATTAACACCCATCCTTATAGCCCGGGGTGATAAATTAAGAATGGAATTTAATGAAACTAAAATATTTATGTTCTTTTAACATAACATTTATTATTTTATCCAGAGAACAATAGTGTTTTTTGGAAATTGAACTCTTATATAAATTATTAAATATTTTCTATTATTGTTTCTTATTTAATGACACGCATTAACATTAACAAAATATATTTCATCTAGTTTTTAATCTGTAACTTAATGATTTTGTACGTGAATAAAAAAATATATTTATTGTTTTTTATTAAAATTACCATGGAATTCTTATTATATAATTTTATCTCTCTCATTAATTAATTATTATTTTAAGTTAAAAAATAAATAATAAAAATTAATCCATGATATTAAAATTTTAAAAGTCACAGATAAATAGAAACAATAAATTCTTAAAATTTGAAAAATGAAAATATACATCAATGAAGTGTACTGAGTATTAAAAGGATTGGTAACCAAATATTGTAAAATACTGAAGTAATGCATACTTTACTTTTAAATTAAGAACAGTGATAATAGTTAAGTTTAAGCAATTAACAGTAATAAAATTGTATTAAAAAATTGTATTCTTTAATACTCAATATATATATATATATATATATATATATATAGTAAAAAAATTACCATTTTAAAATTATTATGTTAACAGAATTTTTAGAAGGAATAAAACTTTATCATATATTTAAATTAAATTGAAAAAATTCACTTAACTAATTGTACACACTGTTTAATTCAAACAAAAGGAAGAGATAAGTCAATTTTTTTCAAGGGAGAAATTTTACAAAGAAAGAAGGGGTGAAATAAATAAACATATTGTCATATACTTACAATAGTGAAATATGCATATGTTAAATTAAAATGATTTTATTTGATTAGTTTAATATTTTTCCTGTCAATTCCACCTACTTTATAAAGGAAATTAAAGTTAAATGGAGAGAAATTTTGACTCTTATAATATGTTCCTCTCTTTAAAAATATTGAATAAAACTGTAAACAAATTATACAAATCTCTTGGAACAATTTAGTGAGAGGCTTCTTTCCCTCCTTTTCGTTCTTCTTGCATGGAAGCATTTATTAAGTCTTTTGGGGGTGGCGGTCGTTATACAAGTCAACAGAATTACCGGCCAGTCGGTGAGAAATTATCGTTCCATCGGATGGTCAGCAAATTTAATGCCGCTGATGTCAACGAGCAATTTAAGTAAATTTCACGGTGATTAAAAGGATATCTAATATCTATAAAAAGGTAGAATGATAATAATTATTAGCTTTATATTGATATATATAATAAAGTATATAATGTTTTCTTTTTAATTTACGAATATAATAGTAAGCACTAACAATTTATCACCCTTAATTTTAAGGAGATTTAAAATTTTGTAAATACTTATTATGAGATTTTTTTACTTCTAAAAATATTTGAATATGGTTTTCTTATTTTAAAATTATTAAATAGTTATTTTGTAAAATATTTAAAAAATTATGAAATACATAATAAGAATATATAATATCATTCTAACAAATAATTTATATATAATAATGTTAATTGAGTAAAATTAACATGCATTATATAGTTAAATTGTTGATAATATCAATGTAAAAAAAATTATCTCGTCAATCAATTAAAATATATTGTAATTATAAAATTTATGCTAATATAAGAATATATTTAAATTAAATTTTATATTTTATTAAATGTAATTAAAGATTATAATTAATTATGACAAGTTTTTATAAGGATAAAAAAATAAAAATATTAAGTTTGAGGTTTTTTTTATTAATTTTTATATTTATTATAAAGTATATTTTTACAAAATTTTTAATAAAAAATAATTTTTAACATGCGTCTAAAACTATAGAAGTAAGAACTTATTTATGATATTTCTATACTAAAAATCAAAAAATATAATACATAAATAATATTAAATACTATAATTTAAAAAAAACAAATTTAATAAAATTTGAATATATAACCTTAAACATGGTTTAAAAGATGATTACTTAGAGCGTTGAACTAAGGAAAAACAGAGACTATAGTTGTGAAGAAAGCAAACAAATGTATATGAATATGAGATATTTTATTGCGTGGACGGAAAGTCTTCCTCTAATCGCCCCCATCCATCCGTCCATTACCACCGACTTGTCTCGTTTTGTTGATTTCATCCATCCGCTAAAGTTCCACCCTCAATTTATTATTTTCATTCCCACAACCACTAAACTAACACTGTTCTACTAATTCCCCCACTTAATTATTCACTACGTATCATTTTATTCTTCTAACGTATACTTTAAGAGACGTAATCAGATATTAACAAATTTTAATTTTTTGAAAATTATAATATTTAAAATGTCAAAGTTTATGATTTTAAGTAAATTTTGATGTCGTATATTAAAAAAATCACTAATTAACTATTCTTAATTCTTTGCATCGATCGTCAACTTTCAAGCAACGAGGCTTCCTCTTTCCAACTTATTTATTAGAGATAATAATTATTATTTGACTGTTAGATAACATATAAAGGGGAAGAAAGGAAAAATAAGTGGCAAAGCAGAAATAGTTAAATTAAAAATGTTTGTGTGTTTATATATGGTCCAGCTGGGGTTGGGGTGATAGAAAAAGGTACGTGGAATGTGTAATAAAAAAAGAAACAAAAAATGGGAGTGAGAGAAAGAGGGCATAGCTGGGATGGATTGTGTCGGCCATCTTTGGATTTATCTTAAAGAAAGCTTAACGTGGCGGCCGTACCACACGACAGACTAGCAGCCAAGTGGGAAACTCATTCCCTTCACTTCTTCTCCATTATTAATTATTAATTATTAATTATTATTATTATATGCTTTTTTCATTCTTCTCCTTATAAATAGAAACTAATACAACAGCAACATGGTTTGGGGGGAAAGTGCTTCCAGGGTATGAACAGAATCTCCTTACCAACACCTTTCGCTTCCACTTCCCAATTAATATTATATATAAACAAAGATGGGTCAGACATAGATACTAGGTGGCTGGTTGGTTTAGGAAACAAATTCAGGTGAATAGGTCATGGAAGAAGAAAGAGATTGTTGTTCCACCAATTCGTCCATCACCAAGAGAAAGCATCATCAGCAACAGCAGCAGCAACACCAAGACAATCCATACAGAGGAATAAGGATGAGGAAGTGGGGGAAGTGGGTGGCCGAGATTAGAGAACCCAACAAAAGATCAAGGATTTGGTTGGGCTCTTACACCACCCCTGTCGCCGCCGCACGCGCCTACGACACCGCCGTCTTCTACCTCAGAGGCCCTTCGGCTCGTCTCAACTTTCCCGATTTGTTGTTCCAAGACGACGACGTTTCCACCCAACACGGCGACATGTCCGCCGATTCAATTCGCAAGAAAGCCACTCAAGTCGGCGCCAGAGTCGACGCTCTTCAAACCGCTCTTCAGTCCTCCTCTCACAACCCTTCCACTCACGTCACCTCCGACAAACCAGATTTAAACGAGTATCCAAAGCCCGAAGATTGATCAATTCCCTTTACCTTCAAGAGTAATATTCATCCACGAATCAACCCAATCGTCTATGCATAGGGCTTAAGCTTGCAGCTTCCCCCGTCGCCTATCTTCTTTTTCTTTTTTTCCTTTCAAATCCTCTATATTTGTAATATACTATATGATTGGAGTAAATAGTTTCTTCCATGTTTATTACAACGTGTAGGAAGAAATAGAAACCTCTGAGATGAGGCTAACTTATTTACGAGCTGAGCAAGCAAAATTATATTTACCCTTAAAAATAAGGATATCTATATTTTTAGTTGCTCCCCTCGTAAAGAATTAAACTCACTTTAGTGTTGTTTTTTGTATTTTTGGTTCTCATTATATGAATACTAGAGCGGTAGCCACGTAGGTTCTCTCTTTCATGGGGCATATATAGGGTCTTTTCTCAGGTCAGGTGTGTTGTAATTTGTAACAAGATGTCCGTTGGCTGGACCTAAACAATCGAATCGAATTAACCGAGTTTGATTTGTTGTTTCATGTTTTCTTTCTGTGTGTTAAATTGGACGTCATGTTGTGAAAATAATTACTTGGTGTATTTTTACCCTTATTTTTTGAAAGTTCTCGAGTTTCTCTTCGCGCTTAAGTTTCTGTTTGTGAGCTATATTCTCTCGAGTGTTATCTTGATGATTGGTCCAAATATGTGCAAATGCAATTCATCGGTGTGAAGAAGGCCACGGGTGAAGAGATAAAGATAGGAACAGCGGTGGCCCAACAAAGCCGCATTAATTTGAAACAAACAAACACTAATGTTTCAGTTGTAGAACAGTGCGAACAAGTGGATATAGAGATAAGGAAGAATTGAGCACCAAAAGCAGCAGTTGCTTATGGCATTGGCACCCCACAAAAACTTTTTTTTTTCTCCTCAAAAGAATGGGCAAGACTGCGCGGAGAACAGTGGGGATCGGTCTCAAAGCGAGGTTGTCACTTGTCACAGTCATGGGAAAGTTCGAGTTCAGGATAGCTTTGTGTAGCACAGATTGATAAACATTGTGAGAGTAGGGCCTCAGCTAGCTCTTTTTTTTTTTTTAATTTGGTTTTCAATATTACTTCCATTTCTTTTTCACCCTCTTCTAAGAACAAATTTTCGGTATTCCTCTGGAACATACTCTCATATAGTAAATTTCTGAAATTTAGATTTCTTTTAATTAAAAAAAAAAATATACCAAAAAAAGCATACAAAACTAGGTCGTGAATATTTTTATCAGATGCTTTTGGTTTCTCTGGTAAAGACATTTCCCCTTTCAGATATAAACCAAGCAGAACTACAAACTCTTGTCGGCATTTTTGTTTGTGTTAACGTTTCTCTGTTAGCATGTGAATTATCTGTACTCTCCTTTGCTCCAAAATCTCATTTGTTACACGTCAATGAGTATAATGTTAGAGAATTTTTTTCTACTTGGAATGGGCGGCATGCCACTATGCGGCATGGTCCCTCGCTTTCCAATCATTGATGAAGGATTCCACTTGGTCAAACTTCAAGCTCACCATGATTATTTCCTCACCCCTTGCATAAAATCATTAACGAATTATATTTATTATTAAAAATAGTATTATATTTAGTTTATATTTTAAAAATATATTACATGGAAGGACATTTAAAATTGTTCACTTTAAATATTCAAGATACATTTTCCTAACTATAAAGGAGAGTTCCAAAAAAGTTTCTTCACGTGAAAAATTTGTGATGGTTTTATAAATTTATAATTTATTGCATAAATTAAATACTTTTTTGCTTTATTTGAAGACTTATTTTCTTATCAATATTTGTGAAATTAAAATTAATAATTAAGCTATATATTATCATCTTAATAAATATAAATATTTGATTTTAAATAAATAAACACTTGTGTGTATGTAATTTTATAATTGAGAATTTTATATTTTAAAATATATAATATGTTAAAACAAAATTAATTTATAATGTATCAAATACATTTTAAATTGTATAAAATTTCATACACTTAATTTTCTTTACAAAAACTAAAAACTTAACGATTTTATCAATAAAATATAATATTGATAAAATAAATATTAAATAAAATAAGCTTAATAATATTTGTTCTTAAAATAACTAATTTTTAAATTTTAAAGATAAAGTTATCAGATAAGAAATTATAAAATCATATAGATTTTGGTAAATTTATTTTTTATATACTTTTTTAATAGATCACGGATGAACTGAAAACGCTGAAAATAACATTCAAGGTATAGACACCCATATATGACATATCTTCCTTACGCAAGAGGACAAAAAACTAGGGAGTACAAACAAGCATTTGAACAGAGAAGGGACTTCCACGCCTGAAGTTAGCAAGATGATGAGCACATTGATTTGCTTAATGGAAAGCATGAGTACGTCAATATCGCCACTCATTCATGCTGCAAGAGAACCTTGGATTTTCTTAACAAGTGGATACAATGGTGAGGTGAGGGACAGTGATTTAACCATAAATTAGTTTTTAAAGATTGTAATGTCTGCCAAACACACATACCTGATTCATCAAGATAATTATTTTCTTGCCCATAAATTATAAATTAGTAATCCGATTTACAACATGGCAATCATTAATATTATCACTAGTCAATTAGTCAAATAATTGGTCATTACTTCGCAAAGGAATGGCCGAAAATAAGGCACGCACATTATCGTATTGCCAATGCCAAATCCAACTTTGACCAACTACAACAAAACATCTGAATATTGAAGAAGAAAGAAGTAATTGGGGGTCTAGCATTTCACTGCGAAGATTCCCAGTATTTTCTCTGTGCCTCTTTCAAGATAAGTTGTTATAACCCTTTTCTTCTTCTTTTTCTTTTCATTTAGTTAAGTCCGGATATAATTCAGATTGCATACTTGAATGTAATAGATAAGTTTAATATTGAAATTTTTTTATATATATAAATTATTTAAATTTAAAACTTTACTTAAACGATAATAAGTCACTTATCACTTAAACCAATCTCCTCTGTTGATAGTTGTTATAACTTTTTATAGATATGTATATTCTCCGAATATATTTATTTCTAATATAACATCATTTAACAATTTTAAGAGATTTTCTAAATGCACTCACGCTTAATTATTTTAATTTTTTTACATATCTTATAATTAAAAAACATGCAAGACCTCCGGAAGATTTAGTCGTTGCATCCTGTAACTATTACTCTTAATTAAGGGGCACAACTAAAGTGTTTTCCAACGGCAACTAATAAAGCTACGGTTTCTCGAAGTCACGTTTAAAAATATATAACATATTATTTTTATTAAAAATATAATATTTAATGTTATTAATAAAATTAATTATCTTATAATTTTTAATAAAAACATACTACTACACGCATGCTTTTATCGCATGTTATTAGACACTTATTAAAAGAAACCAGTCAAGTTATGATTTTATCCACCGTGGACCATGCTTTTATTTTCAATTTAAGAATTCTTAGAGCCTATTTAGTTTATGTTTTTCTATTTTAATGAAAACGAGATTGAAAATATTTAGTTAGCTTTTAAAAAATATTTTTGAAATTGGGCTCAAATCTAAAGACAGAAGTAAGTCATTGTTAATATTTTTTCAGAGTTTTGTTTTTTAAAAAAAGGCTTACAAGGCAAAGTGATCGTGGGTAATTTAAGTGGAAAGGTATTTAAATATATTCATTAATCGTGAGACAGCTCTCGGAGTATAGTAAGATTACAATTGGTGCTCTAATTGTAGTCGAATTACATCCTACTGGTTTTTGTTTTAACTAACATTAATTAACTCATAGCTGAGGATTGCATAATCTTATAATAATATACTCAGACTACAATCAATTGCTCTAAGCAGAAGCTATTTCAATTAATTCCTTTATTTCTTTTTTGAGTCATTCGATTTGGGCTCACAACAGAAAGGCACAGAGTAACCTTGTTTCGGTCAAAACACATTATGGGCAATCATGCATTCACGCCCATGCCCCCGCAAGCTAAGCACTTGTTCTGCGTGTTTCACTGTTCTGTGATTATGATTGTGAAGCCCTTTTGCTTATTTAGCATTACCGAATTGGGACCATAAGAATCTTCAAATACGACGAAAGCATTAGACAATCTTAGAATATTACATGTCATGGACTCATGGTCCAATTTCATTTGGGGCGCTCCTGCAACCTGTCCAATGCGTCCTGCGGACAACAATCTCTTTGGGCCCGTTTTGCGCAATACTTTTTCTTGCCTTACACTACAAATGATTAATAAATGTCTAAATACATAATTTTGCTAACTTATTTTAAGCATTTAGAAATATTTTTTTCATCAAAAATATTATTAATTTGAAGATATAAAATTATGATAATTATTTTTCTAATAGAATCTTATCATTATTTATTTAAATTTAATATTTTTCTTAAATACATGAAACAAGTGCTAATCACTATCTTGTGTACTGTTTGGTTCAAATGAAAGAAAAGGCAATAAAGACATTTTATTGGAGGAGAGGAGATAGAGGAGAGTGAGAGAAAAATTCATGGAAGCGAAAAATACTCTATTTAGTTGAATTAGTTCACATGGAGAGGTGAGAAATAGATACATTTGTTATTATACATTTAAGATTGTTAAATATATTCGTTAAGAATAAAACTATTCAATTTGCTTAAAAAAATTTCTCACCTATAAATATTTTCACCTCTATGAGAGAACTAAATTTGAGTGAGAAGAAATTTTGATCTCTTTTTCTTATTTTTAAAATGTTAAACTACACATTAAAAAGAGAAACAATTTTCTTCTTCTTTTTTCCCAACCAAACACTAAAATTAGGTTATGGCATTGATTAAAAAATTAAGACTAAAAACCATGCATTCCTTTCATAGTTTTTAATATATTTTAAAAAATTCTTTAAGTAATATAATTTTTTATTAAAAAGATAATTACTGATCTCTTTGAGATTACGTAGTGCAACCTGCAGTTTAATTTTGGCGGGAAAATAATAGCCTTCGCGTGTGTAAATCTTTGGCATGCGTTTCCCGGGTGGCGTTGACAACTTGATATATTATTAATGGACAAGATTTGTTTATTTTTATCAAATGAATGGACTCAATTTACATTTATAAGAAAAACTCAATTTATAAACAAAAACATATTGATGACAAATTAATGAGTTGTTTAATATAAATTTCAATTATCAGTGCTGTAAAAATATTGATTAAATATTTAAATATTTATATTGAAAATATTTATTTCTAAAAATATCATTTTGAATTATTTAATTACAACATTTTAAAAATATTTATTAACATTCCCTCTTAAATATTTATTAACTATTAATTGTTGATTATAAATAATTTTTTAATATATTCTAAACTACTTGATAATTCATTTTATACATTATTCCATTCAATAAAATTATGAATATTAGAGGGTTTGGGTAAATTTTGGATAATTTATTTATAAAATGTATTGTTTCCTATCATATTTATCTATTTTACTTGGAAGTAAAGATGATGTTTAAGAGAGAAGATTGGACTTGGAAACAATAGTCAAAATTTTAACTTTTTGAGTTAGTGCAAACAGCACAAAGAGGTAAAAGAAAAGAAGCTTAATGAGAGGTAAAGGAAGAGAAAAGAAGAAAAGGCAAAGGAGGAATATAAGAGGGAAAGTTTGTACAGAGAAGGGTTCATTCAGTGCCATCAATTCAATTAATTATGTTTGGACTGTCTTCCATTCATTTCTCCTCTTCCCTCTCCCAAAACAAAATCCTTTTCCTTTTCCCTGCTCCATTGTACCCACTTTTTCTTACATGAAATGACAAATATTTCACCATGCGATCATGCCCTTCTTTCTCTTTCTCGAGAAAAAGGAAAAGAGGACGTAGAAAACGGAAAAGGGAATGAAACTGTAGAACATAAAGTCACGAGTCAAGTGCATATAAAGATGCCGCATATAGATTTAGTTAGGAGTATAATTTTATCTGAACAATGATGGCACCAGCGTTTCATTTTATTTGGCATTATACGCGATAAATATTAGCATCAGCAATCCCTTTCCGCCAATTTCCAAGCTAAAAAGGCTTCCAAGCAAAATGA